GAAAATTCTGTTTTTTCTAGAAAAATTTTGATAATTAAGGAAAAATTTAGGGTATTTTTGGAAAATTTAGGTATAAGGGAAAAATTTGCTATATTTTGTTTAAAAATAGTGTATGTCCGGAAAATTTTTTTGTTATAGGTCCGGTTTTACTTCTGGGGGGCCTAGCGCCCCCCTGTTCCGCCGCCCCTGATGCATGGCTTTCTTCATACTCATGTTCTCCAAAATGACAGGAATTTTTGTTTCAGGTTAATAACAAGAATTAAACCTGTGGTTAAACATAGGATATTTACTGTTGTTTTCGAGGGCAAGAATCCTTTTCAAATTGTACGGTAGGAGCTGACAGGGCTGCAGACCCTATGATGTGCAAATTGGTAGCAGCATTCCTCAGATGACTTGAATCCAAAAATCAGCCAGGCCTACTGGTGGGCCCCCAACCTGATTGTCACAATTTTTCTTTCTCCAAAATTGCCCCTCCTAATATCCAAGGACCGACAGCTTGATTAGATTTGAACAAATACACAGTAATAGTTGAGAAATGATTTTGCGCAAATTTTAATGTTCTTACAAACACAACTGTATGTTACACTCTGTATGTCAAAAACTGTTCTAAGTTGCAACTAAAGTGCAGAAGTCTAAACGCTCAATTCCAATGACATATCCAGAAAGTGGGGGGGGGGCAAAATATATGGCCCCCTTCGACAAAGTCTGACCAGTGTCCAAATTTATTATAAATTGAATTGCAACAAATAATGCATTCCCACTCCTCGCGTAAAAATATGCCCAGTCAGCGTTTTTAGCTGGAGCCACTGTTTACTCATCCTCGTACCCAGGGCCTTTTTGGGAAAGACTCTGGTATCGGCTGGTCACGTGACTCTGCAAAAATTGATTGCCCAAGGGGGAGTGGCAAATTACATGCTTCCACAGAAAACGTTAAATTTCAAATACCAGGAGTGGGATTTTACGAAGCTCCCGCTAACTTCTATTGTATACCTCCGTTTACTTTTATATTACAAAAACACTGTAGCATTTTATCAACAGTCAAGTCAAGTCAAGAAACAAATAAAATGTATACTTTAAGTTGATGTTCGGTATTCCCTTGAAACATATTTTCATATCAAACTGGTCAGTCGTCAACGTTTGTACATTTTCACTTTTATCTGTTCCGAAAATATGCCATTAGATTTGTTGTTTGA